CATGGCAGAACGTCAACAACAAGGACAGAATCAAAGGCTTGCTGGATTGCCAGTGTTTGTAATGGATCCCAGTCTTAAATTTTACAACATGCATTTGAAGAAATGGAAAATGGAGAAAGCTGTGGTTTACAACATCACCAACGGATGGATGGATCTTGTGCGCAGTAACAATCTCAGGGTCAACGACACTGTGCAACTGTGGTCTTTTAGACTCAACGACCAGCAGTTATGTTTTGCTTTTGTCAAGCTTTGAGAAACTTTCTTATGATGTTTCTTTTAAACTTTCTTTCGTTTCGTTTTGGGAACCTCTTGTTTCCTATTATGTTTGTCGTGTGTTCTGCCTTTTTTGTGTTTTCTTTTTCTTTTTCTTTTTTTTTTTTTTTTTTTTTTTCTGTCCTTGTAATGTAATCGATACTGTTTCACAAATATAATAACATACGATGGCTTTCTTTTCAATTCTAAATCCCTAATCGATACTGTTCCTTTAACTTGCAACTCTGCAATTGACGATGGCAAACGAACATTGGCGGGAAAACGAACCGGTGGTGGGAAACTACTGTAAAAAGAAATCCCTAACCCCCCCAATCCCAATTTGGCATTGTTCTGTTCCAATGGCGCAAACCGAAACCCTAACGCTCCTTCACGCGATCGAATCTCTCGTCTCTGATTAAGTGGTATCTCACTCTCCCTCTCTCCCTCCATTTCATTTGCCCCTTAATATTAATAAATATATTTTTCGTTTTACCGTTGCATAGATCATATTCTTGTAAGTGTTTAATTGGTTCTAAAATTGAAAATATATTTGATGAATCCTCGTGTCGATATTCATGAAGTGCGTTGTGTATAAATCTGAATTACCATAAGGTGTAATTGATGTGGCTGACATGATGTGATGTGAACCTCTGTTTAATTTGAATCTTGGATGAGATGAAGCTGGACACGTTAATACCTCACACTTATACTCACTCTGTGCATTGCTATTGAGATTTAGCTTTGAAGGATATCTTTGCCTCTGTGTATATGGTATAACTTAGATTGTAGCCCCACATGGTTACACTATCTTTAGCTTTCTTCAACATACTGCATCTTTAACATAACTGAACCAGTTTGGTGTATGTGTCATTAAGTTCTTTTTAATTCTGCTGTGTTGCTGCAGTAGTGCTGTTAATTACGATTATATAATTTTCAAACTTATTAGATGGGAATGTAAAGACTTAGGGGTCCTGCCAATTTTTTGTCGGAAGAAAATATAACAAATGATAAACAATGCCTTACACCTCACTCACGCCTTTGAGCAGCTGTTTGCCGTAATAAATGAAGTAGTAAGCATTAAATTCTATTTTGTTAAATTCTTTGAAGTTTATATGGAGTGGTTCATGATGTTTGCTGTTGTATTTCTGGCATGATCAGCAAACTAAACATCCTTACAAACAACTTAATCTTCTTATTTTAGTCCTTTTTACACAAGGACTTGTTCTTTTTTTAAAAAAAAAAAAAAAGTTGCAGATATATGATGAGCAAATCATCTATCTGCTGGATCTAAATCAAAGAAACCTGCAGGTAAATTCTAAACCATTATAGTCTTTTTCTTCATGCTCAACTATTTCATACTGAAACTGGTGACTTGTTGGTTATCTATAAAGCCAAAAGATGGTTACAAGCACAACCTCACGGGTGTATCACCATCGGGGATGATTTAGTTTCTAAATTCCTTACCAGATACTTTAAAACATCAAAATACATCAAGATGAGAAGTCAAATTTCTTGTTTTGCAGAAAGAAGGTTGATAGCAAACTCAATACACAATAAATAAAAGTAGAACAGCAACTGAAATTAAATTAGAACTACTCCACTGAAATCATAAAAAATCTGAAACATCTTTTTATATATATATATATATATATATATATATATATATATATATATATATTTAATGACAATACACAGAATTGTAGAAGCATGCATTGGAGAGACATGTTCTCTCCTTATTCTCCTAACTTTCTGAACTTAAATTCTGCCTTCTCTTACGTGTTTTTCCAGCCTTTATTATTTAGTCTCCTAGTACCTACAATAACTTCTACATCAGCTACATTACAGCAGATACATTCCCACAATAACTTACATTCCTACAATGATTTTTATAACAGTTGCATGATAGCAGTTACATTCCTACAATAACTACTGCAACAATTATATTCTCAACAACTAGGCAGTTATCTGTCTTTCCCCAATTCTCTTCTTCTACACAGTTTATGCCAGACAATTGAGAGGACTTTGATCCCTTGTAATTCCTCCCTCCTAGAATAGACTCTGGTGATGAGAGGTTTCTGTTGTTTAACAAAGTTCTTCTTCTTTTTGTTCTCCCTTATATATAAAGAGTCTAAATAGTTTTATTATTTGCAGGGTTGCAAAGATGTGGAAAGAGTTGCAGGTTAAGATGGATAAACTATTTGAGGCCTGATTTGAAGAGAGGAATGTTCTCGCAGCAGGAGGAGGATCTTATAATCAGTCTTCATGAAGTCCTTGGAAATAGGTAACATATATTGAAGGATGATCAACATATATAATAAAACAAGCTTCTTCTTTTTTCTTCAAGGTTATGAAATCATTTTCTTTTGTATATCAGGTGGGCTCAAATAGCAGCACAATTACCAGGGAGAACAGATAATGAGATTAAAAACTTTTGGAATTCATGTCTAAAGAAGAAGCTATTGAAGCAAGGGATTGACCCAACTACACACAAGCCTCTTACTGAAGCTCATGGGAAGGAAGAAACAAAAAGCACAGAGACAACGCCTATACAGATACCATTGTCTCAAGGGCCTTCAGCTGCATCAACCTTAACTTCATCACAGGGTTCAGCACTTCTAATAGGTGATTCGAATTACTATGATTGTGGGCTAACAGAAGCTTCAAGAGAAGTTTTCATGACCAAGCCAGCATTCGATCCTTTGTCCTACTATGATTTCCAAATGGGTGTTATGCAATCTGGTTATAACTTACCTCTGAGTCCTTATCGCAAAAGCCTTAGACCATTTGATCAGAACCAGTTTGGACAGAACTCAAGCAATGGATTCTCTTCAATGCCAAGTTTAACCAATTCAGATCATGGGAACGTGTCGGTGACTGAGTTTTCAGACAACAATTCAGCTTCAAAAATAAGTTCCTTGTTCATGAGCTCTATTTATCGGTGATTGGGTGAAAGAAAGTTCCAGCAATAGCTCAAACATGAGCTCTATTTATCAAGGAGGAGGGTGTAAATGAACAGCATGATGGAAAATGCAGGGTTCTCGTGGGACGGGGAGAACAAGTTGGACCCTTTGTTTCAGTTCCAAGTCAATGCCATAAAATCCGAGGATTCCAAGACAAGTTCATGGGAAGATCAAGGGCAACTGCAGACTCACAATTCCATATATTTCACTAGCTTTCCATTAACGTCACTGTCAGAGGGTCTAACAGGAGCAAATTTTGATGTGTTCCAGCATATATGAACTGTAAATTCATTCTTTTAATTTTTTTTTTTTTTTTTGAACTCCCTCTTGTTGAAACAAGGTAGCAAAGATAGAAAGATGTTGATAGTACAGGAAATTTCTAGCGAAAGATTTGAGATGATTTCCCCCCTCCACGCATTTATTTTTCCTATGGATGTATCCGTTTTCATCAGCCAAAGTTTGAATAACTAAGTATTCTTGAATATTAATGAGTGAAGCTAATTTTGTTTCATGGCTGTAATATTTCCATATTGTTCTACTGATGAATTGTTACCTGCAGTAATAATACCTAACAATTTAATCTTGTAAAATAAGGTAGGTTGAGTTGTAGTATTAGCAGCCCATTTAGCAAAGTGAATTAGACTCAGCCCACTTACTTTGATGCATCTAACTTAATCCCTATATGGCACGTTATGTATTTTGATGCATCTAACTTAATTACCCCAGCACCCTCATTAATTTCAGAATTAGTATTGTTGATACCACTGTCTTACGAGCTGAGCTAAGATAGGATGTGTTTCATAACCTAAACCAGTCATTGTAAGAGTATATGAAGATGTCGTAGATGTCTTCTTCAATTAGGAATGGATCCTCTCATGTGACACGAGGTCATATAAGAGGATTTCATATATAAATTAACAATGATATTTTTCACATTGTTTATCTGAATGCGTTCTCCCATCACTGTCTATTTATATCCACATGATTGAAATTCTCTAACGTAATCTCATATCACATGATAGTATCCATTTCCTCTTCAATTAATTTAAAAGGAAGTCCAGTCATAATTGTGTTTGTGGTGTTTAAGAATCTTGAATAGCTCCGCAGGTCCTTCCTTCTCCTTCCATGGGACAAGTTTGGCCACTAAGCTTTGAAAAATGGCGCAAAGGAAATGTAACATTGTGGAATTGGATTCCTGCTTGAAAACTTTCATAGGACAATTCTTTGGCCATCAAGTTTGGATTCCTTCTCTGGGTATCTATTAACTTCATAGGCAAATTAATTGAAAAATGTTTCACATTATAATTATATAAAACAGTTGCTTCGGATAATGGCGTAAGAAAATGTAACAAAGCAATCGATTATAAAACACAAGAAACCTGCAGGTGCAGACACAAGTTTCTAACTTTCTCGTCTCAAATTTTGGCGAGTATATTTTATTTCTTTACATAAAATGCATTTCAAGGTGAAACAGGATGTTACAATATTTTCTAGGAAAGGTTTATCTTTTAACAGAGGATGCAAGAGTAGTTTATGTTTGCCTTACCTTAATTTTCAATCAATACAATTAAGTTATAGTACACGTAACATTCATCAAGGGCCTTAAAGTTGGCGTTTTATGCTTATCTTCGTCACATGTACATGAAGTTTGAATTTGTTTAGTACCAAATTCATTGTATTGGCCAAGAAAATGACTTATAGAAGGTGATATTTTAGGCATTGAAACCCCAAGATAAGCAAGATACAGTGTAGTTAACGTCAAGAAACGCCACTTCCACTGTTGAGAGTTGAGACTAACCCCAGCTGCTACAGTGTGTTATATCTACTATCCAAATTCATGGAAGTCATGTTTCCTCAAGGAGGAAAAAAGCATAAGTTAGAGATAAAAAGGATGATAATATTAATTTCCAAGCAAAGTAGCATACAAGATTTCATTCCAAGTATCAGGAACACCAGCTAGACACCAGTGACTGCAGTCCTCATAAGAAGTGCCTCGGCCTGTGTATATAGAAGGGTGGCCATCTATCCTCAGTTGTGTGAGCAAAGTTGTGTCAAGCAAATAAACAGGATTTCTCATGTTACTCAAAACGCTCTTTACAATGTCCACACCAGGATAAGGTGGCATTGGTCCTTGCTCTGGTTGAGTTTGACCGAGACAGCTCTCTCCCCTGGAAAGTTCAGGAAAAAAAGGTGAGTCTTTGAATGCATTTTTCTAATCAACATTATTAACCATAATCAATTAGGTGTCATAGGTATTATGATTTTGTACTCAACAAAATCATTTGCTTTTCTCTGGCTCTCTCTTCTCAGGAAAATGATAAATTCATGTAGAGTTTAGATGGTTAGATTAATGGTATACATAAACATTTAGCTGGCACTTAGTTTTTTAATTAAGTGTATTTTTAACCATTTATGCTTAATTTTTATACTATCAGGCCTTATCCTATACTATGCACCAAACATGCCCTAAGAGACAGGATTTTACTAATGAAGGGCTTGAAGAGTTATGGCATACAAATCAACAAGTGAGGTATGTTATGTATGGTGGTACACTACATCAACCAAGATGGCTTGGAATGTAACTTAATTGGTGTTTTTCTATACTACCCCTATTCTCATTTTCCTTCTTATAAACTGATATTTGAGCTGTCTCAACTGGTAAAGTCTATTGTATTGGGGGAAAGTACTTGAGGTCAAATCCACTTTCATAAAAGGAGGAGAGGGTTTCAAGGGTAAAAAGAAGACTGTAACTCATACTCAGATTAAAATTGCTGATAATATCCAACTATAGAACTCAAAAGTATTTTGAGTTTTTATGTGAATTTTAGTTGGAGTGAAATGAGCAATTGAGCTTACTCAGAATGGACCGCAGCAATTCCTTGGAACAAAACTGTAGTCTTTGAGGGATCAATGTTAGAGTCAATCCATTTAGACCAAGTGGTTAACCCAATCTTGTAAGCTTCCATGTGATCCATGTCTTTGATTATCTTATCGCCCACTTGAAAGTAAACCCATCTGTGAAACATTAACAAGATGGCATTAGCCACGTGCCTTACCTTCTCTCATAAATATTCTGCATCCAAAATCTGCAAAAATTGTAGTTCAGAAACATCAATACGTTTGAGACTCTCCTGTGTGAGTCCACCAATGGTAGGTATTGAAAATCAAAACATCTACTCCTTTCCACATGTGCCCAGATGTAATTGAGTCCAGTTTTAGAATTCTGCCTCTTTCTTTATCATGAATTACATCCACTAGGAACCCATTTTTCAACCACATTATTGAAGCTTCATATTCCTATAACCAAAGATAATTAAACACAGTTAATCAAACAATTTCCAAGGCTCAAATTTTCCCATGTAACTGAGATGGAAACAGAAGATGACTACCGGAAATGAGAACACAGAAAGATGCTTTGTTAGAGTTGTTGAGATGTAATTTGATTCTGGGACTGCAACGTGAAGCATACAAGTAAGTGACTGCCACATATTGTTGCTTATGGAGTCCCCTACAAACATTATCTTCTTCCCTCTATATCTCTCCAAGAATTTCCCACCATCAAACCTGTTAACCAACATCACTTGTGAAGGGAAAAATCAAAGTAAAAACAAATTCATCTTTGAATTTCAAAAGAATTATTTTAAGGCTGCCAAAAATAAAAAAAGACAAATCCCATCCCAGTGAGTACACAAGGTTTCCAAACAAATCCCGGTACACAAGGTTTAGGGATGAGGTACATCAATTGTATGTACACATTTTTTGCAATTTTTGAACTTCAAAACACTTGATTTTAGGCCTAGACAAAAAAAAAAAAAAAAAAAAAAAAAAAAAAAAAAAAACCCATATACAAAGACTCCCTCGGATTGATTATGCACAACCTTAATATTATATTTTTTTATAAAGAGACTGATTTTCATACTCTGAATCCGTAATTTTCCGATCACAATAAGCAATCTTAGTGATACTCCAACGACACTTCCAAATGAAAATAAAATGCCCATGTGATGAAATTTATAGAAAACAAAATCTAAAGATAAGAAAAAGTGGAAAGTGGAAAGTGGAAACATTCATTACCTTGGAAGGTCACAACCAGAGGGCTTCCATCTATACCTGAGGTATTCGTGATCAGGTCTACCATTTATGAGACAATTAAATCCCTTCCCTATGAATGGACAATTACTTGAGGCATCATAGAGAGGGTAGTTGGAGTCATCAACAACCCAATTTCCTATAAAAAAATCACACCCTTCTTGTTTTTCTTTTCCCTGCACTTGGTACACTGGAGGTGCTACTGCCCCCAGAACAGCAAAGGCATGTGCCAAAAGACATAACCAGAAATAGAATGCCATTTGAAATTGTCCTCAACCCTTTTCAGACCATAAAATGCTTGCCATTTGTATATCTTTAGAGAGAGAGATAGAGAGCGCTTACATCGAGGAAAATTATAATACTGGTAGAAATTATTGACTTTACGTGCATGCCAAAACGCCAATTAAGATTTCGATTTTTCCACTTTTTCTCTTCCTTCGACGCTTTGTTGCAAATAAAATTGCCCACAAAAAATATTGAAATTGTCATTTCTTACATGTTACATCTACGGAATTGCGGTGAAATTGTCGTTTAAATAGAAAGCTTTCGATAATAGTTCATTTTTTCTGCATATAAGTTTCATGCGGCAAGTGCAATATGATATCGTTTTAAGGTAAAAATTATGATTTTTTATAATTTTAATTTATTTTAAGATTATTCTAGTCTTTATAATTACAATTTTTTAATTTTTTAATATTAAAATAATGTCATTTTAAAAATAAATACAGATATTTTTATGATCTTTTATTTAGTTTTACAAACATTATGTGACTTTCTTGATTTTAAAAATAAAAATGTTCTCTCCGTTAATTTCACTTTCTTCGAAGCAAATATACCACAAAATAGAGAGGAATACGAAGATGGATAAAGGACAATAAAAATGAAATGTTTCGTAGAAAATATTAAATTTCTCACTAAAATGTTAAAAACAAAAAGATTCCACCAAGTTTAAATAGGAATCAGAAAGAAAAATGCTAGGAATGTATCCTCATTACATAACTGCATCTTGGTATGCCACATTAATAAAATTCTGTATTTATATTGTAAATTAAAAATACATTTTAGATATTTAATAGTGATTTTTGTTTCTTTTTTGTATTAATAAATAAAAGTATAATATGTAAATATTTAGTTTAATAAATATGAATATACTATTTTTAACATTTATGATATAGGAATTAATATTTCTTATGTTTATTTAATACACATATAAAAAAAATGTGACACTTATATGGAACATATGAATAAAAAAGAAAAAGAAAAAACCCACGCACTTTTATGTTTTCGCGTATTGGCTGTCGGTGCATTTTGCTGCATTGCTTTTATTGTTGGTTCGATTTCGAAGGTCCATTATGAGAAAAAGTAATATTATTCATTTGAACGAAAACTTTGAAAATCCAAATCAAGTACAGTCCATAACACGAAACTGAACCTCGCCTCTGCAGATCATGCCTGCAGCCAACTTTCTTTTCATATTGTATTATATTTAGAAACTTATATTTACCACGCCTATTTATACTTTCGATGATATCATTTTAATTTATTTATTTATTATTTAGAATTTGGGATAAGTACCCATCTTTATATTTACTTATTTTATTGATCTAAATATTATTGGAATAAATTACGTCAGGAAATCTCACTTCATCCTTTTGTGATGAAATTATAGTTCCTTCTATTAAGATATCACCTAATTTAACCAACGCAATCCTTGATAATGTGATAGGATATTGATATTTTACTTAATCTAACAATTAATCATAATTTATTTTTAAAAAATTTGTATGCATTTGGATTATAATTAGCATTTGCAAAAGTTGGAATTAACTTGATTTTGAAAATTTTAATTTTGATCTTTTTTTTTTTTTTTTGGTAAGGAATTTTGATCTTACTTTGCAGTGAAGTGTCTTATGTTTTGATATTTTCATTAAAAGTGGGTTTGTCAATAAAGCAAATATTTGTCAAACAAGATTTAGGTAAACTTAGGGGGTGTATTGGATTAGAATTTTAAAAGACTTTTTTAAACTAAAAAATACTATAGATTTTAAAAGACTATTTAGAATTCGAGAGACTTTAAAGACTTTTTTTACAATCAAGATTTCATAAGATTGGATTTTAAAGGATTTTAATAGAATTTATAAGATTCTAAAGGACAATATGGATTTATAAGATTTTAAAAAACTATATGAATTTTTAACAAACATTCAAAATTACAAGAGTCAATAAAAAAGGGAAAGGTTATACTTACAACCTATTTTTGTTTACAATATTTTACAACTATATCTTTACCGTTGATTTCCGTCAATCAACGGTTATCATTCATTGCAAATTAAATATTAGTTAATGAGTCTGATTTGCGAAAATAATAATCATTGATTGACGAAAATCAACAGTTAAGATATGGTTGTAAAAGGTTGTAAACAAAAATAGGTTATAAGTATAATCTTCCCCATAAAAAATAACAAAGAAATGTATTTACCAAAAATAACAACAAAGAAATGCAATAAAATTAATAAAAAAAGTAAAACCTAATATGATTTTTCCAATCTGTAAAACATAATATAATTTGTAACAAACATTCAAAATTACTAAACAACAGCTTTTCAAATATCTAATGGGTTAAAAATTATCTTCTTCATTTGATATCAAAGATATACATATATGATTATAAGACCCAAATTTTTTTAATTATAAAAATAATTCTAAATTTGCATATAGAACCTAAAGTTCATGATAAAATTTTGTTTGGAATTTTTTGCAATTGATCTTGAAAACCTTGGGTTTTTTGTTTTACGTGATGAGAGTTTTCTAACCATAATATCATATGCATATTTTCATTGAATATTCTACGAAAATTTCGAATATGAAATTTTGGGTTTAATTACATGAAAGTTTAGAAAATTTCTCAAATTTTTTTCAATCGATACATTGAAACCTTAAATTGCTTTGGGGGTTTTGAGAAACAAGTTTTTAGTTATCTATTGACACAAAATTGTTTGAAATCATTTCCTATAGTGAAGGAATTTCGTTCATGAATGCATTGTTACGAAATATACGGTTCATATTATGAAAGTTTCTTTAAATTGATATTGTTTCATTGATGTAAAACGAAAATTGGTTTGAAGGTTTTAGTTCCCCTGTTATTTTTTCACTATTTTATGTTATTTTTAATACAAAAATAACACGTTTTTGTGCCAAGAAAAACCGCGACCCATATCTTGAAAAATCACTTTTTAAACTTCCAAAATTTCTCAAAAATATGTTATTTTTGAGATTGATTATATTAAAATCTCATTGATTTGTTGTTTCTAGATTATTCTGTGATGAAAATCGCTCAAAATATGCTCTCTCTTTTTTAGTTTTGATGAAGCTCCCATGGCGGAACCCAATTTCGAGCAGTCAACCTGCCAAAGGAAGAATAAAACACTGCAATAGAAGAATCTAAAGAAATCCTAGAGATTATGATGAGATTATGAGAGAGGCATCCTATTTATATTTTTCACTAAAAAGTCTCACGAAATTCACACCAACAGAAAATCTATTAAAATTGTCGAATTTTTGAATACCACGAGATTTTGATTCCATTATTTAAAATCATGATTGAATACCAATGGATTTGGACGGATTCTAAAATAATACTTTAAAATCCTAATCGAATACCACGTGACTTTTTTTCAAACCATTAAAATCCTAATCGAATACCAACAGATTTTTTTGTCCAAAAATAATCCATTAAAATCCTTTGAAATCTCAATCCAATACACCCCCTTACTTTCACTTTAGACATAAAAACTCAATCAGGCGCAACCAAGTAATATTTTGCCAATGGTGTTTATGATTAGAGACATGTAGATGATGTTATGATGTGTTTTTCTTATGTACCCACACATCAGTTCATAATTGGCACACAAGTAACCTATCTATAATAATCCGAATAATTAAATTATCTAAATGAAAAATTAGTGTGTAGTTAAAGGGTTAAATTAGGTGAAAAATTTAATTTTAAATGTGTAAATAACAAAAATTTTTGGGTAAAATTATAATTATGCAAAATTTAAAAAGCCCTAAAATTATTTATGAGTAGTACACTTAATCTAAACCTGATTAGCCCAAAAATCATAAGTTAGGTGATTCAAATGAATGAGTGTAAATGTTTATAGTTAAGAGGGGCGTAAGCGTCTTTTTCAACTAAGATATTTTCTAAAAGTGTAAGACCCCTCCCTTTCTCTTACTTTTTCCTTTTCTCACCCCTCCCTTTAAAAAAATTTGTGGCTCTTTATCTCTTATCTTCCTCCATGGTCGAAAAACCTTTCTTTCACTTATCCTCCATGAAAAATTGCAAACTGATAGAACAAGTGAAATGAAAATCTTATTTCTGAATGAATACAGACTGGTATTTATATTAATCAGCTGCACAAGATACAATCAAGAATCAAGATACAGTTAAATATAAAAGGCGGGAAATGATAAACTAACATAACTGTCTTCAGTTACACAATACCATTACTCTATATTATTCAATAGCCCCAACTTGGCCAAAAGAGTGTGAAACTAAGTCCGGTGGAGAGCTTTAGTCAACAAATCAGCTAGCTGAGCTACAGATCAAATAAGAAGGAGATGAACAAGACCTTGATGAACTTTTTCCCTGACAATGTGGCAGTCTATATCAATGTGTTTGCTTCGTTCATGAAAAGCAGGATTATGAGCCAAGTAAATGGCTGAGTTATTGTCACACAAAAATGATATAGGCTGGGATAGAGGCATGGAAAGGTCTCTGAATACGTAGGATATCCATTGGAGTTCACAAACCAAACTTGCTAGACTTCGGTATTCAGCTTCAGAAGAGCTTCGAGAGATTGTATTATGTTTCTTTGATTTGCATGAGACTAGAGCTGGGTCTAGGAAGACACAAAAACCAGATATGGAACGTCTGGTGTCTATGCAAGAAGCCAGTCCGAATCTGAGAAAGCAGAGGGACGAAGATTATTGTTAGAAGGGAAGAACAAACCCTTACTAGGAGAGCCTTCGATATATCGAAGGATTCTGATGGCAGCTTTGTAGTGAAGATCCTTTGGATTAGCCATGAATTGGCTAAGTTGTTGTACTGGAAAGGAAATGTCATGTCTTGTGGTGGTAAGTTAGAGTAACCGACCAACAAGTCTTCTGTAAATAGCAGCATCATTAAGAGGGTTGCCTTGTTCTTTATGTAATTTAAGAGATTGATCCATTGGGGTCATGACTGGTTTGGCAGCAAGAAGACCAGCAT